AAACGAATATCGGTTTTGGCATTTGCTCCTAATAGAAACCGATATCCGTATCGTACGGTCCTGCATAACCGTTTCGCAGAATACGTTTCAACGTTTTTTCTCTGATACAAAACCTAAATCCGTTTCTCCACAAGGCAAAAAACGTTGAAGCGTATTCTGCGAAACGGTTGCGCAGGATCGTACGACACGGATATCGGTTTCTATTAGGAGCAAATGCCAAAACCGCTATTCGTTTTGTAAGCTACGGATTTTTTTCAGAGAGTGGAAGACAATTTCCCTATGCCATCCTAGTAGGCGTGTTCTAAATATTAGTTTACACATGGAAAACATATCATTTTTTATCTTATTTTTATATCTGATATCTATTTATCTACTAGTCATCTTCCTTCTTTGAGACACTGTCTCTCTCTTTACCGTGCTTTTTTACCTATAGGAAGTTGAGTCTCGTATATAAGCAATGATAAACCATTCTACTGCGTTTTATTTATTAAAGAGAAGATGTTTGCTGCACAATCACCATTTTCGAGTCAATTTTCGCTCGACGAATCTGGATCAGAACTTTTCAAGTTTGAATGGGACTTCGATTGTCAACAACAGGAGTTTTCCAATGAGGAGCCATTCTGCTCATGCACTGATATTTTTCAACCTAAAAGTAATACAACGTGGTACACTCACTCAGGCTATTTTGAACATCCATATTTTCCACAACTTTTCCTGGATGATCAAGAGGAAGCCATCTTTCCAGTGGACGTGACAACGCTGTTACAAGCACTAGCAACACCACAATACTGTAGTGCCAGTCCATCCAACGGTATTACATCTTGTCAAGACAACATCGTTCATCAGCACCAACATGAAGCGCAAAACTTGACAGATCAAATGTGCTCACTTTCCGCTGTTGAGGTGTCAAATAAATTATCAGAAAAACTCAATGGTTCCAGTTCCAACTTTCCAACTTCTATGGATGATTTCACTCTGTTGCCAACAGCTCCCACAAGAAAATCATCACGATTAGATAATACTGCTGATTGGCTAGTGGTCGATGGCACGACAAAACTGAAAAGACGCCCGCTGCTGCACGAGTTTCTCCGGCGATTGTTAGATAATCCAGAATATCATGATTTGGCAACATATGTCGATCCTCAACAAGGCATTTTTAGACTGCACAAACCAGATGAAGTTGCTGATCTGTGGAAATCTGTCAAAGGAAGAAATAGCAAAAAGAGAATGACCGTTGATAATTTCTCTAGAGGAATTCGGTACTACTATCGAAAAGAAGTAATGAAGGCGAGTCCGGGCCACTTTACATTTTGCTTTGGACCGCAATCGGGTTTTGGTAAATTATGGAGACCATGTTCACAATGACTCTTGTTTTTTGAAACTCGTATTTATCCACTTTAACATTTCAACTTCGTCCGTAGTTTTGACGATAATTTCAACTGTTTTTTTAGTTTGCCTCGTTTGTAGAGTCAACTCAACAAATTTTTATTTTACGTCGATAATCGCTGGTCGTACATCACACTACCGGAAAACGAGTCTTGCAGGTCACATTTTTACTTTTCTATGTAGAAAACTTTTTTTTTAAATCGAATATTTATAATCGTATCTAAGATATTGTTTTTGATAACTAAAACTCTCATTCATAATAAATAGCTGGTACATTTCCGAACGCGCATATACATGACAACCAAGCTCAGTTAGAAAGCTGTGAATGCTTTGGATTGGACATGCTTTAGTTTTATAAAATTTTGTTTTTAACATTAGGTCGGTTTTAATAGCTAACGCCTCAAAAATACTAGAAATCATAGTCATGTACACTCTAAAAAAAAAAGGTATTTCAAAAAACCCTAAAAAGTATTCTCCATTTGAGAAAAACCAAAAAGAAGGTATAACCACCTGTGAAAAACGTTTAAAGGGTTTAACCATTT